GCATTTAAACTTCTACTATTACAGTGAATAATAGAGAGACCTCCATTTGTTATATTGATGTCATTAAACTGTTCTTCATTGTAATATTCACAGTCTTTTATTACAGGGAAAAATTTGTATCAATCGCATCTTCAACATTGTATATTTTAAACTCTAAGTCTTCGTATGTTGCCATGTTTGATGTATTTGTTTGTTTTATATTTGTTAATTTCTTGTTTGTGAAGTTGTGTCAATGATTTATCATCTGTCATCTCTTGAGCTCATTTTAGTTTTTCCAGATCCTTCAGGTCTTTTATTATCTTAGCCTGAGACCCTAACCCTAACCCTACTTAAAGTTATTAGTAGCTTAGTTGGTTTTTTTTTTTCTGTCTTCTTTGCCTTAATGTTGGTTGATAAGAAATCAATGCCTCAGGTAACACTGTGAGCTTCACCACCTCCACATTACAGCTGTCCTCCACATTTCCTCCTGGGTGGAGTCATCTTATCGTTCATGTAAAATATTTCATCATGTTCTTATAGAAACAATACCTGAATGTTGTTCATACTGTGCTAATGCTACATGTTTGTCTCTTGACCCTACAACTGGGTAACGTTACAGTAGACCTAGCCCATTACTGGAGTTTTAATTAGGCATTTTAAGCTGCTAATAAACATGACAGATGGTGATCATATTGCTTTATGCTAGGCCATTGGTAAGGAGTAATTATTATTACTGTTTCATATTGGATGGTGAATTTGTTCCTCCCTAAAACTTAACTTGGGCTGCACTGTATTTCTTAAGACTGTGACTAGGATGCGTGAGAGAAGCGGAGTGTGCTCTATTCACACAAGGAGAGCTGTTGGTCAGGCAGGTCTTGTGCCATTAACTCTAAAATAGTTACTGAATCAAGTGTTTACTTGTGTAGGTAAAACTAAATGTTAAACAACCTGTTAAAATACACCAGAATGCAGGACATCTCTTCCAAGATGGCCGCGCTCAGCCGAGTCGCAGCTTCACAGGCTCCCGGTGAAATCGATCTTTTTTTTGTTCCTATTGTTTTTGTTTTAACATTGTTTTGCACCTACTGCACATCCACAGTACGGGTATGATTGCAACACACTTTTGGAGTTTTCTGTGGCGCTGCCTTGCCATCCTGCCATCATGGTTCAGTCCTTCCAGCCTGGGGCTCAGGCCTGTCATGGCAGCTGTCTCCATGATCCTCCATCTGCCTGCATGGACCAAACTCTACAGACCCGTTCGGTTTCGTGGGGAAACCTGGATGTTCTCCATCTGCCAGATCCGGTTCTGGAGAGCTGTCTGGGAGAGCAGCTGCTGCGGTCATTGTTACCATTAAGCTGCTGACAGGCCCTGCTAACTAGATCTGATAATGCTGCTAAAAAGATCCCTCGTCTGCCTGATCGGACCGAACTCTGCAGACCCCATTGGTTCTGCAGAGGAACCTTGGATGTTCTCCATCTACTGGATCTGGTTCTGGAGGACAGTCTGGGAGGGCAGCTGCTGCAGTCCTTATTATCATCATGCTGATGAAAGGACCTGCTAACATTGCTAACCAAACCATGCCGCTAACAGTACCATGGCACAAACTGGACCATGTTGCTAATGCCCCTTTTGCACTGCCCCTAATCAGCCCCAACTCTACTCAGCCTGGCTCAGCTCAGCCTGGATTTGCACCTGCACTTTAGGACCGATTCTGGAGGCGTGTCCAGAATCCAAGTCCTGCTAATGAGAGTTCTGCTATGAGTTACTCAAAGCAGTCTGCTCCTCAAATAAATATTATTAAATTATTATTTTATATATGAATATTTCTGTTCAGTGCCCTGACACGACTTCTGGTGTGACTTGGCGCTTTATAAATAAACTGAACTGAATTAAATCTGATGAACCAGATTCTACAAAAACATTTAAATCTAAAAAAGTTACATCTGGTCCTCTGGACGTTCAAAAAACAAAA